CTCCCTGCACTAACTGGGTGCTGGTTCTGTGCCACACCCTGCGCTAGGGACTAGGGACTGGGGGCAGGAGAGCAACGGCCAGCAGCCTGCGTGGTCCCTGCCACCAGGGCTCTGGTCCCCTCCACACAGCACTGGCTCAGTCCCTGTCCTGTGTGCTGGATGGCGAGCTCTGTGAGGGCAGACGCCCACCAGTCTGGCTCAACCCTGTGTCCCCAGACCCACACACGGTGCCTGACATGCAGGATGTGATAATCCCGCGGGCGCCGAGGGAGCAGATCAGCCTCTGGCGCTATGATGCTCCTGATCCCAGTGCACGGATCAGGGCTCTGGATGTGACCCTTCCTTCAAGTTCTAGGTCTCATTTGCCAGTGTGCCTGACACGGAAGGGTGAACTGACCTGCTTAGCGGGCCCAGGGTGGTGTTTCTGAAGATTTTTTCTGATACTCAAGGAGGCAGGGTAGCTGAGGGACCCAGTGGGGAAGGATGGGCTGCGGGAAAGCCGGCATAGAAACAGGACTGGCCAGCAGGAGGAGGAGGAGGAGGGGCTCACGCTGGAGCTGCCCCCTTCCGTCCAGAGCACATGACCTCTCGGCCGGATGGGGACACGGCAGGAGGGGCCACAAGTCCCCGCAGCCCTGTGGGCTCCCACGTCTGCAGGCTGCTGCCCGAGTGTCCTCACAGAGGAGCGTGGCTCTCGCCTTTCACAAGAGGACACCGGACCAGGACACTAGGGGGCAGGTCTTGCGTCCAGCTCCTCACTGGCTGAGTCACCTTGACCCAGTGACCACCAGAAAGTGCTGATGGACAGCCCACCGTGACCGCTGCCAGGATGGGCAGTGGGGATGCCTCGGGCTCTCACCTGGTGCTCACGCGCCGTGTGTGCACACGTGTGTAAGAGCTGAGCAAAACGTGACGTTCCGCCTCAGTTTCCACCCTACCCAACGCTCTACAAATTCCATACGTGTCATGGTGTGCAAGTTGTACAAGACACTCAGAAAACCAGTAACCAAAAAACATCATTTTGAGGGGAAAATTGGAGTCACAGAAGTGCCTTTTTACTCATTTCCCTTCAGAACACACAGTCCACAAGTACTTACGAAAGTAACACCCCCTTCCGAGCTCCTTGGAGACCAATGCCCACACAACAGGCCTCAACACACTCTCTCCCAGGCAACGAGCAGAGAGCCGTGGCCTACTGGTCTACCAGAGGTCACTCAGCCGCTGCTCCCAGCGGGTCCCTGACCCACTCCCATCCTGCCACCAGCTGGGCGGTGTGACAAAGTTCGGATGGCTTGACTGATGACTGATTGGGGAAGGCATTTCTAGGTGACAAATATTCAAAGACCATCTCTCTTGATTTTTCCTCGTCCCACTCTTAGCTTCACCTCTCCGACGAACCCGTGTGATGGCAAGTTTCCGAGCTCAGCAATAGCTCTGTGTTAACAGTTAAATGCACAACATCCAAAACAGAATTGGAGAGATTCTTAGACCCTGGCCCAGGATTATTCACGGATCACAGGGCAGGTAAGTATGAGGAATTTTCCAGCAAACCCGCAGCCCAGACTACCCCACCCCTAGACCCTGCCCCCACGGGTAGGCCCTGAGAGCCCCACCTGTAAATGAGATTTCCTTAGTGACCGAATCCCCACAGCTTCCAAAGGCCTGACCTCATCCTTTGTGGTCAGTGTTCTGTCCCGAGTCCCTCTTATGTTGGTGTGCTGTTCTGCTGTTGACCTTTGTTGTTATGAGCACAGAAGAAAAGAATCTTTCTCAAGGAATGTGTTGCAAGGTCTCCCTGTAATCTGATGACAAGTGAACACGTCTTTGAGAAAATAAAACTAAAAGTGGGCACGATCAGGAACTGGCTCACCATACGCTAATTCAAGGCGCTTCCTCTGGCCTGTTCTAGACGTTCCTGGTCCTCCCACACCCAGCAATACATCCTCACATACTTCCTAGGACAACAGTAGGATGGTGGTTCCTACTAAGATGGGGTATACCAACCACAGGTGGCCAAAATTAAAAGCCGATTGTATTACTACATATTCCTGGGTCCTGGGTCATGACTTGCTGGTACATTTGGAGCCATGACATTTATTTTTAATAATAGGGAGAAATGTGAAAGTGAAGAGTTCACAAGAGGGTACAGGCTAACCACTCTCAAGCTGGGTTTGCTGGGCTGTTGCCCAGAGACCAGGGCAATGTTCGGGAGAACACCTCGCCCCTCTCCCTGAGGGACCGCTCTGGGGTGCCACACGCCAGCGGTGGCGGAGCAAACTCACCACGACACACCTGCCCAGACCTGTCGACAACACCCAAGAGGTCAGAGGGCCACTTCAGAATAGAGTGCAAATAAAATGGAGCCCAAGGAAGGGCCTAGAAAAGGCTGACGCTGGCAAAGAAATCCTATCTGAACTAACGTAAGGATTGGGAATCAAGTATTACGAAAACAACAGAGTAATGGGGTTTTGCTTGCTTTTTTTGCTCTGGGCCTTTTGTGTTGTTTTTAATGGAACGATTTGTAGGATAAGAAGAAAGTGAGAGGCCTCGGCCAGTCTCGGAGACACATCTTAGGTGACCCTCAGAAGCTGGATCAGGCAGCAGTTGGTTGAAAACCGATCCCACTGTTTGGAAAGCTGTTTGTCTCCTGAAGGGGTAAGCTGCCCGTAACATGCCCCCCGCCTCTGCCAGCGCAAACCACTCCCACGCAGAATCTGAGAAAACAACTTCTTTTTACTTTTCCTCACATTCTTCTCCCTGGGGAATGGAGCTAATTAGGTAGCTGGAGGCATTTTCCCTTTAGAATAAAAGGGCAGGGATGAAAGAGGAAGGGGGGTGTCTGCGGGCAAAAGCAGTGAGAGCTGCTGGACTTAACAGTAACAACTCCCGCGGACACTACACTTCTTTCAATCCACGTACTATTCCAAGTCCTGTATTTAATTCTTGACTCCCCACACCAACCTCACTGGGTAGACACTAGTGGAGTCCCCATTTTATCCACAAGCAACAAAGGCACAGAAAGGTCAAGGAACCTGCCCAAGGTCCCACAGCAAGCAAGTAGCAGCGCCAGGATGTGATCCGGGCACCCTCTCGCTCTGAGGTCCATGCTGTTGCCAACCCCAGCCCGCTCCCTGGGGCAGGCAGCCTCGCAACCACACTTTCACCAGGTCCCAGACCGATGTCCCACACCGGAGCTGGGGGATGGGCTCCACAGGGTTGAGGGAGGAGATAGGGTGCACAGGGGTCGTGTCGGGTGTGAGGGGGGCTTCAGCAGAGCTCATCCAACCCACAGTGGGGCGGACACAACTTCCCAGAGGGGCCCATACCTGCTCCAAATCTCGGACATATGAGAGGGTGTGGAACAGTCAAAACTTTAAGGGTGGAAAAATGTGTTCTCTCAAAGGACAGCCAGTAGTTCAAGATAGCTGGCAGAGGGGTACACAGGTGACCAAGGGTGGGGACACCCAGACAATGCCCAGGGAGCAGGAATTACCTCAGGAAGGGCCCTGTGGCCTGACTGAGTGTGGGTTTATCTGAAATTCTGCAACAAACAGCTGAAGAACTGAACACTAAGAAACAGAACAATCCAGTCCTTTCCCCAGGTCACTTTCCATCACCAAGGGACTAGGTTGGAGAGGGCCGAGAAGGGAAGACTGGTCGGAACGCAGTTTCTGCCTCTCAAACGGTACCAAGAGGCTGGGATGGCGCAGCCGCGTGTGCCTGCACCCGGAAGGACAGCAGTTTTCTCAACCGAGCGGCAGGTGCGGGCCTCCCTGCAGCACCCTGACCCAGGGCCTGCTCCCTGGTCCAACCCCGCAGGCCTCCGTCCGGCTCCTCGGGGTGTCCTGGGGCTTGTGTCCTCAGGTCCTGCCCCACACAGAACCTTCAACTGCGCCGGGGTCTTAAAAAGGGCTTGGCACTGCTCCATCTCACCAGGGAAGAAGCCAAACGCGTGCCTTTCCCTCCTAATGCCCTTGCCCCAACAAGCAATTGCTGAAATTCTGCAGTTAATCACTTTGGGGACATTTCTTTCTCCCCCCCCCCATTAGAATTTGCTTACATTTTAACTGGCTCTTACAAGCCTAGGGTATTTTGGAAGGATTATGATTCGACGTGCAGTGCACATTCTTGACCTTATTATATACCTGCTGCTTTCTCAGGCTGGACAAAGGGCTCGCACGGAGGGCCCTTTGAACAACGATCCCCGTGTGAGCTGCGGGAGGCCTCCTCCGCTGCCCGCGATGCCTTGTAACAATGCTCATTTCATTTAAACCTGCAACTTCCTCAGGCATGTCTCTCACAGATCGTTCAACAAAATCGTCGCACCCTCCTATCTGAAGTGAGGCTGAAAATATGACCTAAAAGCAGATGCTGTGGGAGTCACCAGCACCCTCCTTCCGAAACAGACGCTAACATGCTCCATAAATAGTATGGTTTAAATGAAATTCTACTTTTCTCCCAAATATACTTTATCTACTCTACCCAAATGGGACTCCTTGTCGGAACTGATAGTGTTGGCCAGAGGCTCGGGGCCCCTGGGGTGTGAGTCCTGGGTGCGTCTCCCATCACACCTCCCGGTGACAACTCCCGGTGTGCGTTTTTTCACGTCCAGTGTCAGAGCTTCCTTAGGCAGAGCTTGTTCTGTGCATTAGTGGGGTCTATGCCTTTTTTGGGTGAATTCTTTCATCACCTCCTAACCTGAAGAGCCAATGGGATTTTCAGGACAAAGGACAGTGGGGAGGCCAGTGGCACCCTAACTGTCCATCACCTCTGTCCCAGCCTCCACTTCCAAACAAGCATGTCGTCCCCAAATGCTTCTCCCGCTCTCCTCCATGAAACCCAGGCTGTCCCGCCTCCCCCGCCCCCCACCGGGGGCTGAGTGCGCTGGGTGACCATCAGGACGCCTAGGTCAGGCCTCTGGATGGTCCCTCTGGGACCAGAAAAGACCAGGACCAAGGATGAGAGGGGAGGTCTCACAAGTTGGGTACGGTGAGATTTACCTTCACGAAGAGCGTGATGTCGTGGTCCTGGCTGGGGACCCCCTCCTCGGATGCCTCGCCGTCCTCCCCGCCGCCGTTCACGCTCGCCGTCTCCTCCGCGCCCCCGGCGCTGCCCTCCTCCGCCAGGTGGTTGCACAGCTCTGTGGCCCCGGTCTCCCCGGTCTCCTCGGTCTCCCTGGTCTCCCCGGTCTCCTCGGTCTCCCTGGTCTCCCCGGTCTGCGCGGCCGAGCTACTGTCGGTGGGCCCCTCCTCGCCTGTCCCCTCTGGGCTGGGCTCTCGCTTCTCCTCCTCGGGACCTTCCACCTCCTCCTGGGGGCCCTCCTGGTCCCCGTCCTCACCGGCGTCCGCCCTCGAGTCCCCGGGGGCCGCTTCCTCTGAGTCCTCTATTCCCGAGGCCCCGGGCTCCTCCACAGCTCCCACCTCTGCACCCTGAAGCTCCCCCGCCAGCTCCCGGCGGCTGCAGCCCCCACTCTCCGCCACGGCAGCCTCAGTCAACTCTGCCTGAGGCTGAGGGCTGCAGTCCCCTGCGTCCTGAGGCTCCTCTTCTGCCCCGGGCGTCCCTCCTGCCGGTCCCTCCGCCTCCACGCAGGCCCCCGGCGGCCCCTCGGGGTCCTCGCTGGCCCCGGGCGCGCTGCTTCCCGGTCCCTCCGGCCCACACTCCGCCTTCTCCTCTGCCTCGGGGACCGCGGGTTCCCCGGGCTCCCCCCGAGCCTCTCCCAGGGCCCCACTCTGTGAGTAGCTCCCGGGACTCGCCTCCTGCACCTGCTCCGCGCCGCTCGTCTCCTCCCCTCCCCCGGGGGTGCCCTCGCCCTCCGGGTCTCCTTTCGGGGCCTCCTCCTCGCCCTGCGCTCCGCTGGAGCCCGATGTCTCACCCCCAGACTCACTGCGGGCACTGGGCTCCAGCTCGCCCCCGAGCCCTCCGTCTGGCCCCGCGTCTTCTCCCTCCTTCCCCGCGGCCGTCGCGGCTGCGCCCGCCCCTTCGCCCCCCGGCGTCCCTGTGGGGTCCTCGCTCGCTTCCTCCCCCTTCACCTCCGGGTCCACGGCCCCTGGCTCCCCCGGTCTCTCCAACAGAAGTGCTGGGCCCTCCGGGGGCTCCTGGGGACCCGCGGTGCCCTGGTCTGGCTCTGTGGCCTCGGCCATGGCCGCAGATTCCTGTCCTTGGCCAAAGACCTTTCCCTGAGGCTGCTGAGCGCAGGTGGCAAGGGCCACGGGGCCGAGGGCCACTGCCCCCGCCTCGGACTCGAGCGCAGCCACGCCGCGCTCTGGGCTTGGCGGCTGCAGGGCGGTGCGCTGGACGCGCGGGGGGCAATCGGCTGGGTCCGAGACGCTGCGCCCCACCCTCTGGGTTTAATTCAGCTCTCTGGGCCCTCCCTCTACGCTAGCGCTCCTCCCGGTTCCGCGTCTGCTTCCCGCCCGGACCCGGTTCCCACTGCGCCCCCCTGGATGCGCGGGCAGCTTCGCCGGGCGCCGTTCAGTGCCCGCCGTCCGGGGCTGACCAGAAGTCCCGGGCGCTAACTCCATCCTCCGCGGCTTGGGCGGGGTTTGCTTCCCCGCCTCTCCCGCGCTTGAGTGACCTGGGAGCCTGGCCAATGGCAGCCTTTCTCACGGGCCTGGTGGATTTCGGTGGGAAAATCCTGGTTCCACCGGCCGCTCCGGTGTTTGCCGAAACCATTACTCGGCATTTAAACCACTCCCCACCCTCCAAACACACCCCACCCCCAAACACCTAATCCCCACTTTGCCAGGAGCTGGGCGTTAAGCTTCCCCCGCTGGTCCCCCACTGCAGAATCCCGAGTCCTGCCTGCGTGTCCAAAAGGGAGCGCGGTAAATCCTGCATGAAAAAGGAGAGGCCACGGGGCGCCTGCCCGGGCGGATTGACCCTTTTCTCCCGTGGGGACCCACCGACTCAGGCTGACACTGACTCTGGGGGCTGCGTCGCTCCGCCCGGACCCTGAGAGGGGAGTCTCCGGCTTCTCAAAGACAGTCTTAGGAAACAAGTTTTCATTTTTATGTAATTCTGCACGGTTTTTTTTAAATTAATTACACAAAATGTATTGTTTTAAAATGACTGTGGGCTCAAAGCCAAAACTAGGGAAGGAAGAAAATAACAATTTCTATAGATGTACAATAGAATATCACATACACAGTGGAGTATACATCTTACATTTTCTCTACCCACTCACCCGTCAGAGGACGCGGAGGTCCTCTCCATGTCTTGACTAGAGAGAATACTGCTACCTGCGGTGAACACGGACAAACCCCCAGCGTTAAAACACAGCCCTGCGCTCTGCCCCCCTCCTCTGCCTCACACTTCCCCGTAGCAGTTATCAGTCTGCGACAAAGAATATATTTTGTTTGTTGCTGCCTGGAGCAGTGCTGGGCGCTGGGGAGACGTTCAGCAAACGTGTACTGAGTGAAGGAATACACGCGTGTGTTCGTCCACGTGCGGGCCAGCCTGAGGAGGTTTTTGAGAATATGTTTCTCGGCTGGTTTCCTACATTGGGGGACAAGCGAATGTCACAGGACACGGTGCTCCCAGAAGTTCTTATCCACAGACTTGGGTGACCACTTCAGTGACTGCTTTTAATTATTAAGCAAAGGCCGAGTCAGTCCGTGTAAAGGCAATACCAAACAAGTAGAACTGTGAAGGTCACGGTGGAGTCACTCGGAGATTTGCACATTGTGACCAGGGCAGCCAGCACCAGATTAGCTATTTAAATACCCAGGAGGGTCACATGGGGGTGACAGACTCAAGGGTAGAAGGCAGGAGGCAAGGGTGCTGATGGCTGGTGAAGTTTCCTGCTGCACGTCACAAGGGATCATGAAGCAGGCTAACTCGGGGATACAAAGAAAACCTCAGGGACTTATAAATAAACAATTTAAAGGTCTGCTGCTTTGGCGGGTTTTCCAGCAGGAGCGGACTCATTTCCGCAGAGATGCCTTCTCTCTGCAGGGTCCCCTCCCGGCAGCACCTGTGGGGCGATGACCAATCTGTGACATTCAGATCGCGTTTCAGGGCTGACCCGCAGTCCTCCTTCCCCCTCCGGCACGTCTCCCGCTCGCCCAGGTGGCCCCACGCCGGCTGAAATCTGCCTGGCTGTGTTCACTTCCTTGCACAGGTACATTTCCAGTGCAAAGGAGGCTGCCACTACAGAGCTGACCTAAACGAGGAGGTGGGGACTGAGGCACAGGTCGTGCAGGTGAACAAGGACAGGACACAAGCCCACGTGAAGAACGCCATGGGGCAACCCGTGGGTTCCCGGTCACGCGGCCTGACTTGAGTCCCACTTTACCTTGTCTTGAGTCTAGTCCTTTTTCATTGACAGCACGGGACTGTGACAGGAAGACCACTGTCACTGTGGGCTTCCAATTGGAACACACGTGTCACACCCCGCACAGCGTTTGTTCCTGTTGACAGTCCGCCCTCACTGTCAGTGTCGTCCCAGAGGGCAGAGCAGCCACACCTCGATGGGAGCGCCATGGAGAAGTGGGGGGACACCCTGTCTCACCTGGCCGGTGACAGCTCTGGGTGGTGCCTGTCATCTCAGCAGCATGATCACCGGAGCGCCCACTGTCACTCTTGGAAGTGTCCTAGTCTGGACGTTGAGTCACATGGTCGCTCTACCACGAAGCCACGGAGCTCCGCGAGTGTGGTCTCTTCCCACACGATTGTGCACTGTTCCCAAAACCAACCACATTTTGAACAGGTACTTGGGTTTCTTTTTAACTTTTCTTTATTGTTGTTCAAGCACAGTCGTCTCTATTCTACCCCCACCACTCTGAACCAGTACTGGCTGGGTGATGGGTGGGGGGGGAGAAGGAGGAGCCTCCAAAACTCTATGACCAACCCCTTGCTGGAAGCCCTTCTGGAAAGGCAGCCTGAATCCCAAAGGACATGCATATCCCGGACCTCCGACCTCGACCTTGCAGGTCCAGCCCCCAGGACAGGGTTGGAAGGGCGAGTTACCCTCATGTCTAGCCGGCTGCCACGCTCCGGGAGCTGCAGCTGGAGCCCCTTCCACTCATGTTGCTTCCCTTCTGGCCCCAGGGCAACAGTCAGTCCAGGCGACAGAAACCATCCTGAAACTTCAGTCCAAAAGTTTGTGTTAAACCCGCCACCCCCACCTGTCAAGCTCCCTCTGAGCACGTTGGCATTTTTCTAAAACAGACCAACATTCTGTATGTGCTCCCCGCATGTTTAAGAAGCTCGAGTTCCTTCTCATTCTTTTTTTTAAACTTTTTTATTGATTATGCCATTACATTTGTTCTATTCCCCCCCTCCATTCCCCTCCACCCTGCATACCCCTCCCCCACCCTCCCCCCTTTCGTTTATGTCCATGTGTCTCAAGTTCTTTAGCTTCTATGTTTCCCATACTATTCTTGCCCTCCCCCCATCTATTTTCTACCTACTGTCTACGCTACTTATTCTCTGTTCCTTCTCCTCCTCCCACTCCCCTGTTGCTAACCCTCCATGTGATCTTCATTTCTATGGTTCTGCTCCTGATCTAGCTGTCCCCTTAGTTTGCTTTTGTTTTAGGTGTGGTTGTTAATAACTGAGTTTGCTGTCCTTTCACTGTTCATCTTTTTTATCTTCTTTTTCTTAGATAAGTCCCTTTAACATTTCATATAATAAGGGCTTGATGATGATGAACTCCTTGAATTTGGTCTTATCTGAGAAGCACTTTATCTGCCCTTCCATTCTAAATGAAAACTTTTCTGGATAGAGCAATCTTGGTTGTAGGTCTTTGGTTTTCATGACTTGGAATACCTCTTTCCAGCCCCTTCTTGCCTGTAAGGTCTCTTTTGAGAGATCAGCTGACAGTCTGACGGGAACTCCTTTGTAGGTGACTGTCCCCTTATCCCTGCTTCTAGTATTCTCTCCTTCATTTTAATTTTGGCTAATATAATGATGATGTGCCTTGGTGTATTCCTTCTTGGGTCTAACTTCTTTGGTACTCTCTGAGCTTCCTGGATTTCCTGGAAGTCTATTTCCTTTGCCAGATTGGGGAAGTTCTCTTTTATTATTTGTTCAAATAAGGTTTCCATTCGTGACTCTTCCCCTTCTGGCACCCCTATAATTCGAATGTTGGAACGTTTAAAGATGTCCTGGAGGTTCCTAAGCCTCTCCTCATTTTTTCGAATTCTTGTTTCTTCATTCTTTTCTGTTTGATCATTTTTTTCTTCCTTCTAGTCCACTCCATTGATTTGAGTCCCAATCTCCTTTCCATTACTATTGGTTTCCTTTGCATTACCATTCACTTCAATTAGTTTAGCTTTCATATATTTCTCTAATTTGTGACTAAAATCAACCAGTTCTGTGAGGATCCTGATAACCAGTGTTTTGAACTGTGCATCTGAAAGTTTAGCTATTTTTTCATCACTTAGATTTATCGGCTCTGGGGCTCTGAGTTGTTCTTGAGCCATTTTTTGTCTGTTTGCGCCATTAAGTAAGAGGAGCGAAGCCTTAGTTGTTTACCAGGGCGGGGCCACCCAGGTCGCTGGTTTGTGACGCTGTGTGTGGAGGCGGGGTCAGAGAGGGAGCAATGGCGGTCCTCTCCGCTAGCCCAGTTTGTCCTATCCCACCACTCGCCCCGGCCTGTTTATCTAAGCGGAATTGTCCGAGCCTGCTGCCCTGTGCCGTGCAGTGTCAATGCTTGCCTCTTCACTGGTTTATCTGCGTGCAAATGTGTAACCGACCGCAGACAGCCAGCCGCGCCTCTTCCCTGTGTGCGCCCATAGCTAGCCAGCGATCTGCGCCTTCGGCTGCTTGCACACCACCAGGTCAGGGATCTTTTTGGTCAACCCGCTCCGCTGCTGGCTTCGCCCCTCTTACCAGTTTAGCTGAGCATTTTGTTTTTCTTTTTTGGACTTCGTATTGTCGATTTTCTGTGTGGTTTGGTTATGTTTATTGTTGTTAAAAATAGTTGTTCTTAGATTTGGTCGTGCACGGAAGCAAGGTGTTTCCACCTACGCCTCCATCTTGGTGGAAGTCTCCCTTCTCATTCTTTAAAACTCCAGGCTTTGATCTCCCCCTCCAGTCCTCAGAGCCCCGAAATCTCCAGGGCTGGGGGATGGCCAGAGAAAACAGACCTGTGGGAGCAGGTGTGAGCAAGTGGGTTTCCAACAGGGCAAGTGCACCCCTGGTGGGACATTAGCAGGGTCCGAACACAGCTTTTGTTTGTCACGATGGCGGAGGGGGGGGGGGCTGCTACTGGCATTTAGGGATGCCGCT